TAGTTAGTTAGTTAGTTAGTTAGTTAGTTAGTTAGTTAGTTAGTTAGTTAGTTAGTTAGTTAGTTAGTTAGTGATTAAGCAACTGTAAATTCGTTACCAGTGTAAACGCTCAAAATTAATTTCCTAGTTACGCATCTATTAACTCTGTTTCTCTGCATTAAAGAAATACAAAGAGAAAATAACAACAACAAAAACAACTAGTTCAAGTAAAATTGTAATAAAAAAGTATTTGTCGGCTTGTAGCTTTGAGTTTTCAAAAAGCTTAATTAAGCTACCGAAACAAACAAGATACAACAAACAAAATAGTTCAACAAATGGTTTCTGTACTGTAGCAACAGTAAAGTTTAGTATGAAAGGCACTCTAAAATAAACCTTAATTGGATGAAAATCGTTGAAATATTTAAAATAATTTGAAATCTTATTTTTGCTTAAAAAAAAAACCACCAACTAACCAACCAACAGCAAAAAAAGAAAACAACCAAATGGACTAAAGAATAAAAACCAAATAAGATTTACGCAACATATCTTTTTCGATTTTGTGGAGTAGAGTATCCTTTTATTAAGCTTGAGAATTTTTATTTCTTCTTTTAAACCTCACAAACTAAACAACCTTTGAAGATTGAAAAATTGTTGTTATAAATGCTAAAGGACAGCCAGAAGAAGTATGGTCTGGCAGCAACAACACCAAAGAGCTGTTTTTCTTTAAGCTCATGTTTGATCTCGGATGAAACCAACTAAGCAACCAACCAACCAAATGCAACAGCAGCAACCGCTTTGGCAAAAGAATCTGTGAAAGCACAAAAAAAATCATTACTATGGGTAGCAGCGACACACACTCACATTTTTGAAAATCCAACACGTGTTGTTTGATTCAGAGAACCCTTTCGATTTTTGCGTTAATCAAAATTCCAATCATCATACCTGAAAATCATTGATTGGTGTTTGTTCTACATAAAATCAATTTTGCGTTTGCCATGTTACACAATGTTGTTGTCACATTGTTTAGCAAATAGTTGTTGCTTTTTTTTTCTTCCACTTCCATGGTTATTTTACACTTGTGCAATAAAATGAAAGGTGTTAGTTTGTTTTTGTAGGATTCGACTTATTGTTGTTTAAAGTTAAGAGGTCAAATAGTTTTTGGGATTGAAAGCAGTGGTGTATGGAGTTTAGTGTATAAGCTTTTGAGATGCATTTCCATAAATTTTTAATACATTTAAGTGATGAATAGATCAATGAATAGATAGTGGTATTTCTCGATATTTCCAAAGCAAAACTTTTACTCAACCGCTTTATATGCCAGGACTTGCCTCGTCCGACTACTACATATATATTTTGCTCGATGCATTTTAGAGCTTTTCGATCGCTAACGTGAGTTGGTGAAGATATTTATTGTTCTGAAAGTATTAATTTGCAAGAGAAAAGCTTTTCAAAATACAAATACAATTAACATGCCTGACATATTATATATCAGTGGTACACAGAGGGAAAAGGAAATATACACGCCTGGTACCAAATTGACACCAAAGAGTTTATAATTTTTCGATATCATCCGTTGTTAAAGTATATACATACGTACGACAACACTTGAGAACGCAACGTTGTCAACATTGCAACAATCCGTTGTCTAAATCTAAATTTTATACACATCCGTTGTTTAAATGTTAACAAACGTGGTAAGCTCACTAGGCAACGGATTGTTTGAGTTGTTGCGATGTTGTCAACATTACATAGTGTTGTCGTACGTATGTGTATACTTTGACAACGGATGGTATTGAAAAATTATAAACAGTTTGGTGTCAATTTGGTACCAGGCGTATATATTTATTTTTCCCTCTGTGTAGTTTCTTTTTTTTTTTTTCAAACAATAACCTGTAACTTTAGTGCATAAACTTCTTTTCAAAATCTTCACTTTCCCAAAAAAACACTTTAAAGTGAGAAATTCTTTTGACAAACAAATATCAAAAAATCATAAAATATCCAAAAAACGAATAATTTTATGATTTTAAAACGTTTGTTTTTTTTTATAATTTTCTCTTAAATTCATTCACTTTAACAATGACTTTAGTCATGCAGTCGATACGAGTGAAATTAATGGCATCATAAATAAGAATCAAATTTTTAAGGAATTGAAAATAATAAAAAAGAATCAAAAGACGACAGCTAAGAAAAACATTAATGCATCTCAATAATGATGAGTTTTAATCATTTCTTGACATTTCTGGCAGAAGCGGCAGCAGCACACAACATTTCTTTAACAAAAAAAAAAAAAACTAAACTTCATTTTTAAGAGCAGCTAATAAAGCAAATCAATATCTTTGTCATGTTGTCTTTCCTCTGAAAAGGATTTTAAGCTTTTATGATTAAATAACAAAAAAAAAACTGTTTTTGTATGTCTGTCTGTCCGTCTTTAAGCAAATGAATACAAAAAACTTTTAAAATAAGAAAAAAAATGAAAACCCATTTAAGATGAAATTTAAGTTTCATGTTTCGCAAAACATTTAAGAAGTATTAAAATTGTTTGGCAATATTTTTTTCGCATTTCTGTTTGTCTGCTTTAATCCAGCAATTTATTGACATTGAATTTATAATTTTGCAAAAAAAAAAAACACATTTGCTTAAATATTATACGGGTTCATTATGAGTTTTGTATGCAAATTTTAATTATCATTAGTTTAGAATTGCTTCTATTCATGAATATTCAACAGCTATACATACAGGCTCAAGGTATCCAAAATAAAATATCTATTACTTTCAATTGGTATTTGAATAATTCTCATATTACTTTAATGTGCCAGCTCAAGTTTAAATTGTAGTGCTTATGTTTGCTTATGATTTTTCTATGGCGGGAATGTTTGTGAATTAAATATTTCGATAAGGGATTTCAAAATTTTGCAAATTCAAAGTATAATCGTTGATACTTTTAAGACACATACATAAACTTTTATACCCAAAACATAATTTCATTGCTGAGCTATGTTAGGAGTTACACTCAACTAAAATATTCCATTTCTCTCGAAAATAACTGTATCCTTACCCTGATGTTCTGTTCTAGTTCAGTTCTAGTTCAGTTCTAGTCCTTTTCTAGTTCAGTTCTAGTTCTGTTCTAGTTCTGTTTTAGTTCTGTTTTAGTTCTGTTTTAGTTCTGTTTTAGTTCTGTTTTAGTTCTGTTTTAGTTCTATTCTAGTTCTGTTTTAGTTCTGTTCTAGTTCTGTTCTAGTTCTGCTCTAGTTCTGTTCTAGTTCTGTTCTAGTTCTGTTCTAGTTCTTTTCTAGTTCTGTTCTAGTTCTGTTCTAGTTCTGTTCTATTTCTGTTCTATTTCTGTTCTAGTTCTGTTCTAGTTCTGTTCTAGTTCTGTTCTAGTTCTGTTCTAGTTCTGTTCTAGTTCTGTTCTAGTTCTGTTCTAGTTCTGTTCTAGTTCTGTTCTAGTTCTGTTGTAGTTCTGTTGTAGTTCTGTTCTAGTTCTGTTCTAGTTCTGTTCTAGTTCTGTTCCAGTTCTGTTCTGTTCTAGTTCTGTTCTAGTTCTAGTTCTATTCTAGTTCTGTTCTAGTTCTGTTCTAGTTCTGTTCTAGTTCTGTTCTAGTTCTTTTAGTCTGTTCTAGTTCTGTTCTAGTTCTGTTCTAGTTCTGTTCTAGTTCTGTTCTAGTTCTGTTCTAGTTCTGTTCTAGTTCTGTTCTAGTTCTGTTCTAGTTCTGTTTTAGTTCTGTTCTAGGTCTGTTCTAGTTCTGGTTCTGTTCTAGTTCTAGTTCTGTTCTAGTTCTGTTCTAGTTCTGTTCTAGTTCTGTTCTAGTTCCGTTGTAGTTCTGTTGTAGTTCTGTTCTAGTTCTGTTCTATTCTAGTTATGTTCTAGTTCTGTTCTAGTTCTGTTCTAGTTCTGTTCTAGTTCTGTTCTAGTTCTGTTCTAGTTCTGTTCTAGTTCTGTTCTAGTTCTGTTCTAGTTCTGTTCTATTTCTGTTCTAGTTCTGTTCTAGTTCTGTTCTAGTTCTGTTCTAGTTCTGTTCTAGTTCTGTTCTGTTCTAGTTCTAGTTCTGTTCTAGTTCTGTCTATTTCTGTTCTAGTTCTGTTCTAGTTCTGTTGTAGTTCTGTTCTATTTCTGTTCTAGTTCTGTTGTAGTTCTGTTCTAGTTCTGTTCTAGTTCTGTTCTAGTTATGTTCTAGTTCTGTTCTAGTTCTGTTCTAGTTCTGTTCTAGTTCTGTTCTAGTTCTGTTCTAGTTCTGTTCTAGTTCTGTTCTAGTTCTGTTCTAGTTCTGTTCTAGTTCTGTTCTAGTTCTGTTCTAGTTCTGTTGTAGTTCTGTTCTAGTTCTGTTCTAGTTCTGTTCTAGTTCTGTTCTAGTTCTGTTCTAGTTCTGTTGTAGTTCTGTTGTAGTTCTGTTCTAGTTCTGTTCTAGTTCTGTTCTAGTTCTGTTCTAGTTCTGTTCTAGTTCTGTTCTAGTTCTGTTCTAGTTCTGTTCTAGTTCTGTTCTAGTTCTGTTCTAGTTCTGTTCTAGTTCTGTTCTAGTTCTGTTCTAGTTCTGGTCTAGTTCTGTTCTAGTTCTGTTCTAGTTCTGTTCTATTTCTGTTCTAGTTCTGTTCTAGTTCTGTTCTAGTTCTGTTCTAGTTCTGTTCTAGTTCTGTTCTAGTTCTGTTCTAGTTCTGTTCTAGTTCTGTTCTAGTTCTGTTCTAGTTCTGTTCTAGTTCTGTTCTAGTTCTGTTCTAGTTCTGTTCTAGTTCTGTTCTAGTTCTGTTCTAGTTCTGTTCTAGTTCTGTTCTAGTTCTGTTCTAGTTCTGTTCTAGTTCTGTTCTAGTTCTGTTCTAGTTCTGTTCTAGTTCTGTTCTAGTTCTGTTCTAGTTCAGTTCTAGTTCAGTTCAATGCTAGTTCTGTTCTAGTTCAGTTATTTAATTGAATAAATTAATTGCAGCTAGAGAGCTCACTGATTGGTTTAAGAATATTATGTTTCATTATCACCCTGTTCTCCAATTCTTATATATTTTTATTCAATTTCAAAACAAAAATAAATTTTATTTTTACTTCAAAATAAACTCAAAAATATTTTTAAAAAATTCTTTAAGAAAATGTCTTCGGAAGTCGAATTTAAACTGCAAGATTTAGCTAAAATTGCTCTAGGAGCACCACAACTAACCAACGTCAATATTGCTATTCTTCATAGTCTCATAGATATTTTACTTAAAAAGCTAAATTGCCAAACCGAAACAGTTTCGCTAAATGCCCACGATTCTAAGCACCTGGAGAACATTTTAAAAACTGCCAAATTATCACCCTTAGTCTTCAGCGATGAAAATGTGGAGATAATTGCGCCAAAACTAGAACGTTTAGATAAATTACAAGAACGTGTTTCAAATTTAGACAAAAAATTGAGCAATCATTTAGAAGAACTGCAAAGAAATGATAATTTTAACGAAACTGTCTTCAACTGGGAAAATTGGCCAACGTATGGCTGTGAGGACTTGTGTACCACATGTGATCCGGAGAATGAAATGGCCTGTAAACTTTTAAAAAATACCGATTTTCTTAAGAAACTACTAAGACGTATTTCATCACCCATGGTGGATCGTATATTTTTGTTGGAAGAAAAAATTGAAAAACTCTCTAAAGAGTTCACTAACTTTATCAAAAGAACCGAGGAGGAATATTTAAAAATCAAGTTACTCGAAAAATGTATTCTAGAAATAGAAACTTTGCGTCAAAAGGTGGAAGAAAATCAGACACAATTTCTTTATACCATGGAAGAAATTCAAGATATGTTGGATACAAAATTGGACAAAATACACATGCCTGCCTTAAAGAAATATATACTTGAAAACTTTCAACGCATTGATCAGTGCGTTAAAACAATGCAAGACAAAAGACAATGTAACCGAGCAGCTGGCATTATAATGGAGGGATTACGTTGCATGTCTTGTGGTGAAACAAAAGTTTGCAGTGAAGTTGGGGTTCAATCGGCCTCTATGTTGCCCGATATGGGAGTGAAATCACCAAAAGTAATAAGAAAATATTGTGGTGTTTTACATAAAACAGTAGATGATTGGAAAGGTATTAAAAAGCCTCGCGTTAAATCTTTGAATCTAAGTGATGTTGTTAAAGTGAAACGAGAGAAAATTATTAATGTGATTCATGATGATGACAGTGCAATACCAAAATGTCGTAAAGCGGGTGAGGATTTTGATTTGATGGAGGGATCGGATGGCAAGTTATATCGTAAAGGATGATTGTGTGTAAATTTTGAATGTGTTATTTCGATTTTCATCGATTTTTCTTAATTATCGATTTTCAATAAATTTTCTTTTTATAGAAATATTTGAAACATTTTTCGATAATTTTTTTATAGAAAAGTTTTTTTGAATTTTCTTTTTATAGGAAATTTTTGCTGAATTTCTTTAATAGAAAATTTTTGCAAAATTTTCTTTTTATACAAATTTTCCTTATTTTTATAGGAAATTTTCGCTGAATTTTCTTTATAAGGAAATTTTTGCTGAATTTTCTTTTTATTTTCTTTTTATTGAAGTTTTCGATAAATTTTCTTTCCAGAGACAACTTTCGATAAGTTTTCTTTTTATGGGAAATTTTTGCTGAATTTTTTTATAGGACATTTCTGAATTTTCTTTTTATAGGAAATTTTTGCTGAATTTTCTTTTTATACGAAATTTTTGCTGAATTTTTTTATAGGAAATTTTCGCGGAATTTTCTTTTTTTATGAATTTTTTTTTCTGAATTTTCTTTTTATAGAAAACTTTTCCTGAATTTAATTTTTATAGAAAATTTTTTCTGATTTTTCTTTTTATAGAAAATTTTCCCTGAATTTTTTTTATCGGAAATCTTCGCTGAATTTTCTTTTAATAAGAAATGTTCGCTGAATTTTCTTTTAATAGGAAAATTTCGCTAAATTTTCTTTTTGTAGAAAATTTTTTTTCTGAATTTTCTTTTTGTATAAAATTTTTTCTGAATTTTCTTTTTGTAGAAAATTTTTGCTGAATTTTCTTTTAATACAAAATTTTCGCTGAATTTTCTTTTTAAAGAAGATTTTTCTGAATTTTCTTTTAATAGGAAATTTTCCCTAAATTTTCTTTTTGAAAATTTTTTTCTGAATTTTCTTTTTATAGGAAATTTTTGCTGAATTTTTTTTTTTATAGGAAATTTTTGCTGAATTTTCTTTTTATAGAAAATTTTTTCTGAATTTTCTTTTTATTGAAGTTTTCGATAAATTTTCTTTTTATAGGACATTTTTCGAAAAAAAATTTAAAGAAAATTTTTTCTGAATTTTCTTTTTATAAGAAATTTTTTCTGAATTTTCTTTTATAGGAAATTTTCGCTGAATTTTCTTTTTATAGGAAATTTTCTCTGAATTTTCTTTTTGTAAGAAATTTTTGCTTAATTTTCTTTTTATAGAAAATTTTGATGAACTTTTTTTTATAGAAAATTTTCGCTGAATTTTCTTTTTATAGAAAATTTTCGCTGAATTTTCTTTTTATAGGAAATTTTCGCTGAATTTTCTTTTTATAGGAAATTTTTGCTGAATTTTCTTTTTATAGGAAATTTTCGCTGAATTTTCTTTTTATAGGAAATTTTTGCTGAATTTTCTTTTTATAAGAAATTTTTGCTGAATTCTCTTTTTATAGGAAATTTTCCCTGAATTTTCTTTTTATAGATTTTTTTTTCTGAATTTTCTTTTATAGAATTTTTTTTCTGAATTTTCTTTATATAGGAAATTTTTGCTGAATTTTCTTTTTATAGAATATTTTTGCTGAATTTTCTGTTTATAGGAAATTTTTGCTGAATTTTCTTTTTATAGAAAATTTTTTCTGAATTTTCTTTTTATAGGAAATTTTTTCTGAATTATCTTTTTATAGGAAATTTTCGCTGAATGTTCTTTTTATAGGAAATTTTCTCTGAATGTTCTTTTTATAGGAAATTTTCTCTGAATTTTCTTTTTATAAGAAATTTTTGCTGAATTCTCTTTTTATAGGAAATTTTCCCTGAATTTTCTTTTTATAGAAATTTTTTTGTGAATTTTCTTTTAATAGAAAATTTTCGCAGAATTTTATTTTTATAGAAAATTTTCGATGAATTTTCTTTTTATAGACAATTTTTGCTAAATTTTCTTTTTATAGAAAATTTTCTCTGAATTGTCTTTTTATAGAAAATTTTCTCTGAATTTTCTTTTTATAGGAAATTTTTGCTGAATTTTCTTTTTATAGAAAATTTCTGCTGAATTTTCTTTTTATAAGAAATTTTCGCTGAATTTTCTTTTTATAGGAAATTTTTGCTGAATTTTCTTCTTATAGGAAATTGTTGCTGAATTTTCTTTTTATAGGATTTTTTTTTTTTCTAAATTTTCTATTTATAGAAAATTTTTATAGAACATTTTCGCTAAATTTTCTTTTTATAGAAAAATTTCCATAAATTTTTTAATAAAAGTTTGATAAATTTTCTTTTATTAGAACATTTCATTTTATAGAAAATGTGTGATTCGCGATGAATTTTCTTTCTATAGAAAATTTAATGAAAAAGTTATTTAATATTCTATATTATTATTCAATAATCAGTAATCAAATCCCTAGTGTGACTGTCTTAATAACTCTTGTGCAAGTCATTTACTATAATTTAAATTTTAAAATATTCTTATTAAATTGATATAAAACAAATCGCACTACCTGTATCTTCAATTAAAAATGATGACACCTGAATGTAGTTAAAATTTAATTTCAAATTCAAATCATATAATTGATGTAACACAACACATAATTGTTTAAATTGAATGAAATAACTTTATTGAATTATAAAATAATTAAAATTAAAATTTTATGTCTGCATTTTTCAATTACATTAATATTTTTGCAGTTCATCAATTTTGTTTGTAATAGCTACAAATACACACAGACACAAACACCTATTCCCGCATAATTCTACCAAGATTATTACATGAATGAACTTTAAACCCTTTCAACTTAAATAATGTACGAGTGAATAAACAAATGTATATGGAAAATATATTAACGTAGGTGGTTTAGAAAGGAAAGGGACAAGATAAGTATAACTATAGGGCAAAGAGGATTTATTTTGAGGTTTAAGAGGAATTAAATAAAATAGCCTTACATTTAAATAATCCTGGCAAAGAAAGCTTTTCTCAACTTCTGATTTTTACAAGAAAAGTACCCTAAACTTCCGAAACTACCCACTGTTTCCATTAAAAGCGTAAGCGAGATGCAATTGAATAAAATTTATGATATTTACCTAAATTTACATGTACAAGTATTATTTTACTAAATATTTTACTGGTAAATAGATATTTGTTTTGTGAGAGTATGAAAATTTTGTGGTTAAAGATTTACAAAATTAAAGTTTTATGAACAATAAAATAAACAGAAAAACACACACTTGTACATAATTAAATTAAATTTTAAACTTGCACGTGTGCGTGTTCTTAGACGTAATCAAGTGGCAACATATTGAATACTTAAAGACCTTTTGATTTTTCTAGAAAATTTTCTATAAAAGGAAAATTTATCGCAAAATTTCCAAGAAAAAAGAAATTTATCAAAAATTTTCCATGAAAAGAGATATTTATAAAAAATTTTCTATAAAAAGGAAAATTTTTCAAAAAATTTCTATAAAAAGAAAAATTTATCGAAAATTTTATATAAAAAGAGAAATTTATCGAAAATTTTCTATAAAAGGAAATTTTATGGAAAATTTTCTATAAAAGGAAAATTTATCGAAATTTTCTATAGAAGGAAAATTTATCGAAAATTTTCTATAAAAGGAAAATTTTCTATAAAAGCAAAATTTTCTATAAAAGGAAAATTTATGGAAAATATTCTACAAAAGGAAAATTTCTCGAAAATTTTCTACAAAAGGAAAATTTATCGAAAATTTTCCACAAAAGGAAAATTTATCGAAAAAAAATCTATAAAAGGAAAATTTATCGAAAAAAATCTATAAAAGGAAAATCTATCGAAAAAATCTATAAATGGAAAATTTATCGAAAAAATCTATAAAAGGAAAATTTATTGAAAATTTTCTATAAAACGAAAATTTATCGAAAATTTTCAAAATTTATCAAAAATGTTCTATAAAAAGAGATATTTATCAAAAATTTTGTATAAAAAGAGATATTTAAAAAGAGAAATTTATCAAAAATTTTCTATAAAAAGAGAAATTTATCAAAAATTTCTATAAAAAGGGAAATTTATCGAAAATTTTCTATAAAAGGAAAATTTATCGAAAATATTCTACAAAAGGAAAATTTATCGAAAATTTTCTACAAAATGAAAATTTATCGAAAATGTTCTACAAAAGTAAAATTTATCGAAAATTTTCTATAAAAGGAAAATTTATCGAAAATTTTCTATAAAAGGAAAGTTTATCAAAAATTTTCTATAAAAGGAAAATTTATCGAAAATTTTTTATAAAAGGAAAATTTATCGAAAATTTTTTATAAAAGGAAAATTTATCGAAAATTTTTATAAAAGGAAAATTTATCGAAAATTTTTTATAAAAGGAAAATTTATCAAAAATTTTCTATAAAAGGAAAATTTATCGAAAATTTTCTATAAAAAGAAAATTTATCGAAACTATTCTATAAAAAGAAAATTTATCGAAAATTTTCTAGAAAAAAGAAAATTTATCGAAAATTTTCTAGAAAAAAGAAAATTTATCGAAAATTTTCTAGAAAAAAGAAAATTTATCGAATATTTTCGATAGAAAATTTTCGATAAATTTTCTTTTTATAGAAAATTTTCGATAAATTTTCTTTTTATAGAATGGTTTCGATAAATTTTCTTTTTATAGAATGGTTTCGATAAATTTTCTTTTTATAGAATGGTTTCGATAAATTTTCTTTTTATTGAATGGTTTCGATAAATTTTCTTTTTATTGAGTGGTTTCGAAAATTTTCTATAAAAAGAAAATTAATCGAAAATTTTCTATAAAAAGAAAATTTATCGAAAATTTTCTATAAAAAGAAAAAAGAAAATTTATCGAAAATTTTCTATAAAAAGAAAAAAGAAAATTCATCGAAAATTTTCTATAGAAATCAAACATTTTCTAAAAAAGAGAAATTTATTGAAAATATTCTATTTTCTTCGTATAGAACATTTTCGATAAATTTTTATCTTATAGAAAATGTTCGATAAATTTTTATCTTATAGAAAATGTTCGATAAATTTTCTTCTTATAGAAAATGTTCGATAAATTTTCTTCTTATAGAAAATTTACAATAAATTTTCTTATAGAAAATTTACGATAAATTTTCTTATAGAAAGTTTACGATAAATTTTCTTATAGAAAGTTTACCATAA